CGGGTCAGGTTTCCCGCGAGCAGCCGGGAGCGGCGCTGCCGGAGCTAAATTTGGAGCCTGGAACCCGGCTCAGTCCCCACCCCCAAGTGCGGCCTTGCATCCCCCTGTGTAGCCACCTTTCCTGCCAGCGTCCCCTCCCCCTTGTTTCTGCGTCAGTTAATTATGTTTATAAACAAAGAACACATTGACAGTAAATTCTCCCAGTTTACTCGATGTTATGCGCCCCCCGTTATCTCCTCAGCCCCCTGCAGAGCTGCTAGCATTATTTGCAGCCCTGTCTCAGGCCCCCCGGGGACCAGCTTGCGCCCTCAGCCTCCCCAGAAATCGCTCTGGTTAAAGGCACCAGTGACCTCAGCAATCCTAACCCAAAGGCAAAGACCCCTTCTCGGGCCTCACCTCACCTGCCCTCTGGTCTCATGCTTCCTCCTTCCTGCCACCCTTTCCCGGCCCCTCCAGACGTATCCCCGCTCTATGGCTCTGTGGCTCTGTGGCTCTATGGCTCTATGGCTCTATGGCTCTGTGGCTCTGTGGCTCTGTGGCTCTATGGCTCTATGGCTCTATGGCTCTATGGCTCTGTGGCCTGCTGCCTCCGTCTCTTCTCCCTGCCCCGCTCAGTCCTGGGCTCCCTGTCTGTACTCACTCCCTTCTGATCTCTGACACTTTACTAGGTGCCCCTATCCCTGTGACACCAGAGCACACAGGCTTAGCCCTAAAAGCCTAACACAGGACGCCCAGGAGCCCTGGCTTCCACCTTCAGCTCCAGCGTCGCCTCTCCACGCTGGACTTCTGATCTGCACCACCACGTGCTTCTCCCACAGCCTTCCCCACCCCATTTACCAGGAGCTCCAACCCTCCAGGGGCTCAGGACAAAACCAGGGAGCCCTCTGTGACTCCAAGAGGGAAAAATGGTGCACACCTCACCCCGAGTCCTCAGTCTCTCCCTCCATTGCATCATCTCCAATGAGCAACAAATCTCTCCCCTTCTGTCCCACTCTGCCGCCCTAGCTTCACCCAGCTGTGAGAACAATCCTGTGGAAATGGTGCTTTTAAATCAAATCATGGCCCTTCTCTGCTCAAACCCTCCAGTGGCTCCCACCTGTCACCCCACCCCAGTCTTCCTCCCCCTCCTTGCACTGGGCCTCCTCTGTACCCTCACCTCTCACCACTGTCCTATGGACTCCCCTCCAGCCGCAGGCACCTCCTTGCTGTTCCTGCAACACATCAAAAGGCCCTACCTCACGGCCTTTGAACTGGCTCTGGACTGGGACCTTTCTTCTCCCAGACACGTGCCTGGCTCTCTTCCCACCTCCTTCGAGTCTTGTTTCAAAAGTTACCTTTCTCAAAAAAGGAAAAAAAAAAAGAAGAAGAAGTTACCTTTCTCAATGAAGCCTGTCTACAATCACACCTTACCATTTTATTTTCAATCCAGCACTCTGCTTCCTCCGGAATGCGAGCTGTTAGAGCGATGGACTGTGTGATTTTGGACCATTGGACCACCGGCTTTCTAGAGCAATTCTTGGTACCTAGTAGGCGCTCCCTAAACTTTTCTTCGGTTGAATTGATTTGGACGTGATTAAAAAACAGCGGTTTATAGTGAAAAGTCTGTCACTCGCCTAGACCCCAGTTCCCTCCCCATCCCAGGCAATTCTGAATTATTTTATACAAATATTATATTTACTACACTCCTTTTTTAAAAAAAATAAATAAACACAGCATCCTGCACAGTCTTCTTTTCTTTTTCGCTTCACATCAAATGACCTCCCCTTCTTTTTCCACCGCTGCCTCCAGGTGTTTATCCCAGCCCTGTCCTCCCCGGGGCGTCCTTCCGTCTAGGCCCGCGCCCCCGTAGGCATTTAGCAGAGAGCCCTGGAAACCCTTGGGACGCTGCCCGCGGGGGGTTGCAACTTCTGGGGTATCATGCTCCCCGGAGACCGTCAGTGTGCACATGTCCTGCACGAAGAAACTGCTAAGGGAAGATAGGAAAGGGAACTTCAGTAAGCGGGGGATGTAGCTCAGCGGTAGAGCGCATGCTTTGCATGTATGAGGCCCCGGGTTCGATCCCCGGCATCTCCAGCGTGGGCTCACGCTTTTTTTCTTACTGCAATGTATTCCCAGCCCCAGGGAAAATTTCAGATACTGATGTTTCCCATTTTTTTAATTGAATTTATTGGGGTGACACTGGTTAATAAAATTATATAGTTTTAGGTGTACAATTCTATACTGTGTCCGATCCCCGGCATCTCCAGCGTGGGCTCACGCTTTTTTTACTTTGTCTCCCAAATTCAAAAACGCAATGTATTCTCAGCTCCAGGGAAAATCTCAGACACTGGTGTTTCCTTTTTCTTTTTAATTTATTGGGGTGACACTGGTTAATAAAATTATATTGTTTCAGGTGTACAATTCTATACTGTGTCTCCTGTATATTCTATGGTGTGTTCACCGGCCCCTGATCGTGGCGTTTTGCCCACGTTGGAGGTGTCGGCTGCTGCCCTCGCCTCTCCCATCCCCTGACGCTGCCTTCTGACTCCAGATTAAAACATTACAGGGTGATGGGGCCACTGGCATCGTCCTGCGCGCGTATTCCCTTCGAGCTTCACGGGGGTGGAAAAGGGCAGGTTCCTGGCAAAGGACAAGCAGGAAACTGACGGCAGTAGGAGGGACGGTCAGGCACAATCCTCCGAGTTTGTTTCCGAGCTCCCCTCCAGCTAGAAGCAGGCCTAATCCCACAGTGAGGTAATAATTATTGACTGAAGATATCGTTAGGTATCGCTCCCACAGTGAGGTAATAATTATTGACTGAAGATATCGCTGGGTGTTGCCACCGCGCCCGGCTAGCTCAGTCGGTAGAGCATGAGACTCTTAATCTCAGGGTCGTGGGTTCGAGCCCCACGTTGGGCGAATGGGTAATTTTTGTTTTCATACATTGCCTGACAGCTTGGAAAACCGAAGAAATCCTGTTATGGACATTTCCTGTGTGCGATATTTGTTTAGGCTTTTTATGGCTACACCCTTATTCATTATTTATCTAGCCTGTTTACGTGGACAAAATGAGTTCTTAAAAAATTGTGTAAAATATGCATAACAACATTTGCCATTTTAACCATTTTTAAGTGTACAGTTCTGCAGCTTTACACACATTCATGTTGCTGTTGTGTAACCATCACCACAATCCATCTCCAGAACTTTGACATCTTCCCCAACTGAATCTCTGGACCCGGTAAACAATTATGTCCCACTCTCTCCTTCCCCCAGCTCCTGGTATTCTACTTTTTGTTCCTATGAGTTCGACTACTCTAGGTATCCCATATAAGAAAAATCATACAATATTTGTCCATTTGTGACTGGATTACTCCACTTAGCATAATGTCTTCAAGGTTCATTCCTGTTGTAGCACGTGTCAAAATTTCCTTTCTTTTAAGGCTGAAAAATAATCCATTGTATGTATATAATACATTTTGTTTGCCCACTCATCTTTCAATAGACAC